CCCAAAAACGTGGAACCATTTGTGAGGATCAAGGTGGGACGACGGGTTGACAAGCTAAAGAAAATAATTTGCATGCTATCAACGGGTTTGTGCCCTAGCAGAAACTATTTCTAATGTATGCATGAAGCCCATTTTTCTTACGTCTTCCGGGGCAAGGGTTTCATTCGTTTACTTTTTTTGTGTCTTATTACCCCTTTCAAATCTGGTGAGCAGGGAATTCGGGGCTACGTTCTTCAGGAACGAGGCTCTTACGAAGATGAAGAGCTCTTTCATGTCAAGATCCTCGATTCTGATGAGAACAGCAGGCTCATTTACTTTTCTTTTCATCTGATTTCAAGATTGTTAATTACTTTCTCCTTCAGTGCTTTCAATGAAACCGTCTCAAATGTGTCTTTCTTTTCATTTAGGAAGAACCTCGGCGCGGAAAGATATTTCATGAGTCAGAAGCGAGATATGGTATACATTTGAATTCATCGCATTAGCGGATGTAAGAGGTTCTCAGAAAACCGCATGGCCTTTTATATCTCACATCAGGTCACATTCGGAAACCAGCAGTAACGACGAACTAGATCAGAGCCACTGCTTGAAAATTAATCTAGTTTTATCCCATCAATTCCTGAGGAAAAAGTGTGCATTAAATCAGCAGGGATTACTACTATAAAAAGTTACCTGCACTACAATAATAGCCATCAGTTTCAAGGTTCCGACTTCGAGCAATCAATCAAAGATTTTAGTAAACTTCACGTACATAATATATTCACATTTACAACGACATCATTTTTCATGAGTTCATAGTTTTAAAGAAAAACTGCAATGTGTCTTTCTAGGATTCGCTGGTTTCTTGATGAATCTTTCGTTTTGTCCCCAAACTTCATGACAATCAGAAGAAACACATCGATTCATAGAAATCTCGGCTGTGATTTGATTTTTAGCAAATTTTTTCACTACCAGCAAGTTTAGAGTATCAAAGTTCACGCAAAATTGGGGTCAACATGATGTGCATCAGATGAATGAAACGTATTTCAAAATGGAAATGCAATTGCAAAAATAGCATGGAAATACCATATTTAATCAAATACCACGCACCATTGAGTAAGGTGCGCACATGGGTTTTTGACTTGGAAATTTTGCTAAAAAATTATCCCTGAGTAAGATGCGCACCCCAATTTTTAGTGCATCTATAATCACAACATTTTTAAAATAAAAACAAAAAATTTGACTAAAGGCATGAATTGAACAAAAATCTGATCAATTTTCAACTTTATTTCCATTACAAAAAAGTTTTCTACTTTACATTTGTTCTGAATTTCTCCATTAGAAATACGTATAATGCACACCTAAGTTCCTAAAACTTTGTGAAATATCTGTAAACCCACTTTTGATGCACACCCCTTGTTACCTTTTGAAATTTGAGAAAAAAGGTGCACTAACTTAAGTAAATACAGTAAGTTGACTCTCATACACTTCACTTACATTTTTAAACCAGACGATTTATACATAAATTCAACTATTATGTAGGATTTACAGGAATGCTTGTCCTGTATACCATGTCAAGTAACTGTAGACATTACTTCTGCGATGATTTCAAAATACTATTCAGGGGTAGAAAATATTTGTGACGATCAATCAAGAGGATATAGAATGAATTTCCCCGGTCACGAGCCCGGATCATAGGGGTTCTACTCCACAGAATTTCCATGACTCCACACTGTCTTCTCTTCATGTACGAGTATTTCCAGAATATCAGGTGAACCTTCTACACGGACGATAATCGCGAAATATACACAGCACAGATGCCAAAATGAACAGACAGGAATACCTGTACAGAACTACATATATAGAAATGTATCCCTTCATTTCTCACGAATCTGTACAAAAGTTTCCTCCACGGGTCAGCAGTTCGTTGGCGAGAAAACTTCCTTTCGCGTCCGATGTAGTAGAAACTTGGATGCCCTGAAGGCAAAAACAAAGGTGCAGAATACAAGTTGCATCTTCAGAAATGAAAGAGGGGGAAAAAAGGCTGAATTATATCCACATCGTTTGAAACTGAGGCGAAGGCGATGAAGCTGAAGTTCAGTGCGACGTGACGTCCAATGAACAAAGAACATAGTCATCTTTACGTCAACTGTTGTATATATTCGAGTCTTTTCAAGTTTTCCACTTTATTTTGCCGTTTTTGTTTAGGAAAACGAAGAAAATTTATTTTATAATTAACTTCAGTATATGCTGCAATTACTGTAGTGGTTTTGAGTGATCTCAAAGTTATTTAAAAAATAATCGAAGCAGCTCTTTGGTTCGGGCAACACAAGAAGCCAAAACTATTTTGGAGAGAAGGGGGGCATGGATTTAATAAATGACGATTTTTCTTTGCAGGATGTGAATAAACAGATATTGCACAACTTCATTCTCAAGTGACATGTAATAAAACGCTTGACGCCAAAAATTTATTTTCCAAAAGTGCACAAAATGAGGCTTTCATCATCCAGTGTACGACTTGAATTCAAATTAAACTCTTTGAAAAAATAAAGAAGAATTCGTGAAATACGAGCGCAAATCGGGTCAAAACGCACGTGTTGCAAGCCTCTGCTTTTCACCGTCTTTTGTTCTCGAATTTCGATTTCAAACCATATGCGCCCTTATATTCGGGATCCCTTCCACGTATAATGCGAGCGTTGCCACGACCGAGAAATATCGATTCCTTGTCTTCGATTTCCTTCATTGTCGAATACGCGGCATTCCTTTCATTCGTGTCGTCTCGCATTCTGAGCTAGGTCAAAGCCCGTTTTCTCTTCTTTCTTCTTTTCGTTCCATGCCTCGTCCTCTTATTATTTTGATCCATCATCATCATCATCACCATCATCATAGGGATCTCTGCGTTTGTTCAGCCCTTTCCGCGGAGATCGAAAATACGTCACGTGAGATGAAGTGTAGGGACTAAGCTGAGATTATGCACGCAGAGAACAAACAAGAGAGAATTGGCTAATGGGAATTCAAGGCGGGTTTATTCCGGTTTTTTCCCCTGAAATTTCACGGAAGGGATGAAAAAAATATAGGCGACTTTCAGAGACCTCCTAGCACTGGTTCAGGGATATTCCACGAGTCTTTAAGATGTTTGTCACGCGGTTATAAAACGATTCTCTATCTGATGCATATAAAGGATACCAATAATATATTCATTTCCGAAATTAAATTTTTAAGAGAGTTCGGGTTGTTTGGTTCTCTGAAATAATGTGATCCATTCGATCATATTCTCGATTTTTGTTTAATAGCCTTAAAAATTATCACAACGTCGTGTTGCTGTTTATAATTTTGCTGCCATCGTCGAAATCAAACATTTTGAACCGCTGAAAAGTAAAATGCTGTTCTGCGTATGAGAAAAAAAATTTCAAGCAATTTAATATCGGAAATGCATTTTATTCCATGTATTGATTTCGAATGTATGAATTTTGATGCATGATGCATTTTGGTTTTTTGTAACAGATCTACGATAGGAAAATTTTTATTGGGAGTATCCAAAATCAAAAACTGCAATAATATTCATCTTGCGAGATTTTGAAAAAGGGTGAAGATTCTAATAACACCACATTTTTGGAAAAGAGTAACAAATGAAGCGTAGATTTTTGGAATTTTTTAAAAATTTTGAATTCTATGGTAAGGTGTCAACTTCTGCTCGAATCATCGAACCTTGTCAAATTATATCATGATCAACTTCTATTGTATAAGAATTCTGAAATAGAATAATTGCAACCAACCCACATCAGGACACAACAATGAAGTTGAGTCATTCCACGATGGGTTTTTACTTCAACTATACTGCATTTTAATTTTCCAAATTTGATGCACATTTTGCTTCGTACCGGTGTTGATGAAAACACTTCGAATTCACATGAATTTTTCATATGTCACTCACCACAACATCGCTGTAAGGAACATAAAACTTTATTTTTGAAAGTCGGCGTTAGATCATCGCTCGTTAATGATTTCGATGAAACATGCGTGACGAAGGATGCTAATTGATTTTTCCGCGTTTCCATTAGATAAGGAAAATTATTTTCTGACAATGTGACTTTGAAACTGCCTTACGAAGAAGAATTTCGGCATTGTTGTTCGATCCTCAATGCAACCCCATGCTGGATAAGAGAAAATGGATAAATTTTATATTTTGCGGCATCATACAGCACAATTTTTGGCGTGTTTGGAGCTCTTTTCAGATTTGTTCAATGTGTATAGAGGTTGAATATAGTAGAAATAAATAGAAATTTGAAAAGAAACGGGGAATTTATGCTAAGAAAGGGGAAAGGAGCTCAAAATAAACTGAAGTCACTCATGAACAGATGACGAGCAAAAAGCGTTATCGCGATCAATGCGACGACGATGTCGACTTCGTCGCATTGTTCTTCAAGGCCTCCATTTCTTCCCTTTTTTCTCGAAATGCGCATTTTTTGGGAAACTCTGCACCTGTTTCAACCGTTTCCCCAGTTAACTTTCATGTCGGCTGTACGCGACAGTTTTTTCTTGAAAGGCACAGAGAGGGAAAAAAAAGAGCAAAAATAAATCTATATACTTCATTCATAGAAGGAAAGCTATGCAGTTCTTCGACAGTATTCGCTAAATAGCAATGCGTATATATAAAGAAAAAAAGGATAATATTTTCCTTTTCGCCCGAGTTGGTAACTGGTGGCAAATATTTGAAAAGGCACGGTTTTCGTTTGTTCGGCGATGACTCGTCGCGAATTGATAAAACCTTTCTGCCATTCTTTATTCCCCGTGGTGGTGACACAGGGTGACAAAATATGTCACTCGTCCCGGAAAAGAACACGGAAAAACCTTCGCATATATGTGACCTTTCTCGGACGTTGACTCATTTCGGTGTCGAATTGTGAAGGTCCTCTCTGTTACGATGTGACAACTGCCTCGAGAAAAGGGGCTTAGATACGTATATTTTATCGCGGAATCATGACAAAAGTCAATTTATTGTCACGTGCTCTTTTTTGGGAGCGATGTCGAATGAATTTGAAATTGACGTTTTTGCCGAAAACTTTCTTGGTGAAGATGGAGACAATTTGACAGTTCATTTCGAACCCTCGAAAAGGTGCCATTTATTGAAATAATTTTTGCAACTTTTGGTAAAACAGCTTTTCAATCCGCTCGAAAAAAAACGCTGTGAATGCAAAGATTTGTCTGAGGATCTAATTACTGTATTGTGTCTGATGATCGACACGTTTGCTTGTAAAAGTTGTAATGTAGGAATTCTTTATACTGTACTGTAATGGATTCCATTGTTTTCTTCAGGAAATCCAATTGAAAATTATGTTGACCGATGAACTCGCGCGGGATTACGTTCGACGAATAGTGTGGATCATCGTTTTCCGTTTAAAAGAGAGGTCGTCGAACAAAGGACATAATTTGAATTGCAAACTCGGCTTGGAAATTATGCATCAGTTAAGAATAAGGGGGTTTAAATGTATTTTGCTCTTTGAGAACTTCTTGGATTATCTCATAGAGCGAGGTTATAGGGAACGATCGGTGTCGGAGCTGTACTAATGAGTTATTCAGCCGGAAGAGGTTTTAATAAATTTTTAAAGATAAACTTCTGAATTTATTTTCTTCAGGTTTACTTCTGGGCAAGATTAGCTGGTAATGAATTTCAGAAAGCATTCCGGAAATATCATCTTCCACGTGGACATATATATACTTATAATAAACAAGTATTCTTTGAAATCTGCGCAGACTTGATAATTTTTTCAACAGTCAGCGATTCAAAAATAACTCATATTTTGTCCACAAAACATGTTTTCAATTCTTGCTTTTTTTTCATGCATTGTATGACAATTTTTCCTCGCGCACTGCGAGATGAAATATTTAAATGTCCATCGATGGCAGGGGCGTAACATTCCTTTCAGAGTGTTTTGAAAATTCGTCTATAATCATTCAGTCGAAATCAAAAATCTCTATTGATTAGAATACGAGCTGCCATATAGCAAACAGAAAAATCATCTATAGCGCTTCAAATCTCACCAGTATATGCAATTTTTAATGTATAAAAGAACCGTATCAATTTAAAAAATCATGATATTTTAAGGGTTCCCATTTTCATCGGACCCCGTACAGTATATACACCATGACGTGGGACATCATGGATTTTTATGCCACTTACGCACCCCCCCCCCCCTCATAATATAAATTATATTTTTAAAATTCAAGACGAACTTTCTATACACATACTTTCTTCAGAATCAGCAAAGTCTACATATTGATTACAGTTGTTCATCACTTTTGACAGAGCTTGATCTTATCAAATTATTTTACAGTACAGTACACTAGTACAGTATTGCATTGGGACTCAGGATCTTTTTTTACTCCATAGGACTCAGCATGGCTGTAAAAATGTGTTTCATTGAATTCTACTACTGTATTATTACTGTATTATTTCCATAGGTTTGAAAGTAAGCATGCTCTGAATCTGTAATTAATCTAGGACCTCTAAAATATACATGACAGCTTTAAACTGGAGATTGATCTTTACCCCCCCCCCCCCCCCATTTATTTTTAGCAAATATATTTCTTGCAATAATTGTATGCCTATTTGCTCAATATATTGCATTCAATTTTATCTAATCATGGTGCTCATGTAAAAATGGTGTTTATATATGGATTTTTCTGCAGCAAAGTTGGGATATTTTCACAAAATTGGTGTCATAGAGTACTGAAATAAAAAAAAAAACTGAGGTGCGAACCAAGGGAATGGTATTTATATATATGGAGTGAGTTTAAGTATCTTTTTCAAATACGGTATTTTGCAATGAATTTCATCTAATCAGCTTTGTTTTCTTTTCAATAATATGTTTCAGTGGCAGGTCTGTAACAGACTATAGCTGTCATGGCGTGGATGAACGCGACGACGCTGATGAGCCACGGAGTCCTGGTGGCGTCATCTACCGACGGACTCGCATCATCCCCCATTGATTCCCTCATGATGCTCAGCACCACCAGCACCAGCAGCAGTGGTACCAGTAGCACCAGCAGCAGTACCCACCCTGTCCTCCCACTCGGCACCCGCTACTCCTCAGTCGAAACCTGCGTGTTGGTGCTCGTCCTGGGCTTCGTCACCATAGGCACCATCGTTGGCAACATCCTCGTCTGCATTGCTGTGTGTCTAGTCCGCAAACTGCGCAAACCATCCAACTACCTCCTGGTGTCACTGGCAGTGTCGGACCTTTGCGTTGCTGTGCTCGTCATGCCCATGGCGGCTGTGTATGAACTCAGTGGCGCCTGGCCCCTGGGGCGCATCCTGTGCGACATGTGGGTCGCCCTGGACGTGCTCGCGTGTGCGGCGTCCATTCTGAACTTGTGCATGATCAGCGTGGATCGGTATTTTGCCATCACGAAGCCGTTGGAGTACGGGGTGAAACGGACGCCCAAAAGGATGCTTGTTTACATTGCGGTGGTGTGGCTCGGGGCGGCCGCCATTTCCATTCCGCCGCCGGTCATCTTGGGGAATGAGCACGGTACTGCGGAGAGGAACGAATGCGTGGTGTGCCAAAACTTTTGGTATCAGGTGAGCTATTCGTGGTTGACTTCATCCCCGAGTTGCGTTGCTGTCAGCTATCATAGTTTCCTCGAGTCTTATTGTGAGCAAGTGAGAATGAATGATAGATACGTTGTAAGAAGAAAAAAAAAAGACTAGAGCAACAGTACCATGCAACCTTCTTTTTTTATTGGGTGATTGCACATGTAGACAAAAAAAGCAGCTCAGAAGTACACTTGAACCTCTTTAAGTCAAACTTGAAAGGACCAGCAACAAAAATCAAGTTGGGGCATGTAAGAGGTTTTGAGTTGTAGAAAAGCATGAACGTTTTGGTTCGGAAAAGCTAGAAGATATACAGGATATTTTAATTGATGATACTCTAAAGGCCTGGAATTGATTTTTAAACAAGTTGACAGAATGCTGAACTTGGAAGCAAGGGTTAATTGCCTAATTAGTCTTTCACTTCCTTTCAGTATGCATAAAATCACATTTTTACTGATTTTCTCTTTCCTGTGTCAATAAAATAATAGCCTAAAGGCCTCAAGTAACTTGAGGTCTGAATTTGATAACCTAATTTGAGTTTGGGAGGTGTTTAATGCATTGTTTAAAGTGGTTTCAATGGAGACTATAGCTGAAAATTTGACTCAAGGTTGTATTTGACTCATCTAGGAAGATTCCAAATATTGAGGTTCAAGTGTACAGGTGGTGCCCCAGTACAGTTGAACCTTCTATGTCCAATTTTTGGGGACCAGGAAAAAAATTTTACATAGGGAAGTATTGATTTTTGTAGGTTTTGAGTTGAGGGAACAATCATTTTTGCTGCAAGGATAAGTAAAATTTGTAGGAAATTGTACATGAGGATATTCTGGGCCTAAAATTGCTTCTTGGTGAGTTTATAGCTTACTGAACTGGGATGCAGGGGTTAATTTGTTTCATTAGCCTTTCACTTCCTTTCAAGATGCATGAAATAATTTGCTTCATTGATTTTCTCTTTCATATTTTAAGGAAATATTAACCAAAAGGCCTGAGAAAATTTGACTTACAGAGGTTTGGGAGAAAAGACTTCACATTGGGTAGGTTTTTAATGCACTTTTTCTAATGGAATTCAAAGAGGCACTTTGCAGTGGTCAAATTGTGATTCAAACCCCCAGCAAATTTGATCAATTGAATTGTAGGATATGGTTGAATTGTGGGAGGTCAGATTACAAGATACCACCTGTGCTAAATCCTACCAGTGGTCCTGTGTAACCCTTCTGCAGTGAAGTTGGGATATTTTCGCAAAATTGTGTGCCCATGAGCACAGAAAAAAAACTTGATATTTGAACCCAGATTTGACTGCATCATATTTAACTGAGTGCAAGGCAGCCTCAAGTAAGCTGCATAGCTTTGTTTTTTGTATGAAATTTTACAAAAAATGTAAGACTTGCACCTCAGTTTTAAATACTGTAGTTGAAATTTATATATTTTTTTAATGTTAACATTGAACAAAATAATCCCATGAATACATGTAATAACATACATTTGCAGTGTGCACATTTCAACTGGATTTGTGCAGAGAAGAATTCCATAGTAATTGTTTGCACCTATAAAAAATTACTTATTGCTCCCACTGTTGCTTTCTCTATATTTTTATTTGGAAAATTCATACCCGCGTGCACTACTCGCTCACCCAACCGTTTTGCCTTGATTTTGCAGAAAAAATGTGGGTCTGGTATTCTAGTAAATGCAATGCATGTTACAAGTGAGATCTCATTAAAAAATATTTTTACAATAAATGTTTGTTCAAAACAAATGAAAGTTTGACTGCACGAAGTGGAACATCCCCTAATTCCAAATCTTTCAAACATTCACTTATCAGTTGATCCCTTGTCAATAAACCCAAAGTTCCATGCAATTTGCTGGACACCTTGCAACTCTTTTTTTTTTTTTTTTGCTTAACCTCCCTTTGTCAACTTCAGACCAAGTGAGCCTTGAACATGACCATCGTCAGCGTAATAAATGAATATGACCGGGAATCAAAAAAGTTTTATACATGAACGCGGTCTACAGTATTTTCTTTGTACGGTGACGCTATCAACCTTCGATGCGAATGTCTTGCGCTTGAAATGCATTAATCATGGTGCTAACTATGACTGTATACAAGTAAGAAAAGAGGTTTCACATGTATAGGTATGTTCCAGCGGAAGCTCCTCCGTGACAAGGAATCCGCCTCAGAGATGATGTGCACACAAGTACTTTACTTTACATTAATTCGTTTCCCTCAGCATGATAAATCTTCGCTTCATCATGCTTTCCTTAATGCTTCCCAAGAAAGTTCGGTTTCATTAGTGCAAGGAGGATGTACTTGTATATCGAGAGAGTTGATTCACACGAAAAAAAAAAAAAAAGATATCATGTAGTGCATTAAGAAATACCAGAGGACGAGCTCTGACAACGTGCTCGTAATTCTTACGTTTTCTCGGAGGAAAAAACCATTCTGTCTGTGATGCTGTTTAGTTTTTTTTTCATCGTCTCTTGTTTCGGAGGCCATTTCCTACTGAAATGCTGTACCATTATAGGTACTTTACCTATATGTGGAGGTATAGGATGCGAAGTTGTACTCCGAGGATTGATCACAAATAAGCGGCCTTGTGTTATTTGCTGCTCGCAGCGCGTGTGTGCAAAAGTTTCCTTTTGATACTTGCCGTTGTTTCATTGTAATGGCTTTTGCGTGTCAGGGCTTTGTGTTCATTGAGCCTCTTATCGCTTGAACTTCTACAACACAACATTTTCTGGGAGTTTTTCCCCCAGGCGATTCCTCAAGTGTTTTACGTGAATTCAGGAGTTGATTTCTTGGCTAATAAGCTTCCATAATATCTGTTAATGGAGCCTCTCTAGGAAAAACTAGAGGCGTCGTAATCGAGAATGTATTCATTACAAAAGTCATGTCATCAATTTGTTATTCCCAATTTTCATCGAAATTTGAATAAATAACCAATTAATTAAATTCGCCGGCGTTAGCTGAATTTTCTTCCTATTCAGCGGAAAATTTCAACTGCTCGTAACTTATATATCTACCTAGTATTTAAAAATGACCTATAGCTACTTATTATTTTGATATTTTTCTCTCGAATACGATATTAATCACATTTTCGGAGGGAGGCCATTACTGTATCATGTAATTATTTATCCCACAATAAAAGCCTTAAACTTAAAATCCTCACTGGTATTTTTTCGGATGAAAAAAGTTCTGTAAGCCTTTACGAACAAAATCTTTATGCTTGTATTCAAAAACTATTTTGAGAGGTGTATTTTGGTCGGAATAAAAACCGCAGATCATTGCTGATAATTGTCTCAAAAGTCGCGAAATTGGACAGAAAATAAATTTAAAATACCAATAACATAAACTCAAGAAGAACCATCAGTTCTAAATATATAAAGGTAATGCTGCTATACTTAGGCAGAATATACAGTTTCTGGCAGGTTCTCGGTGTTTTTTTGTGCAAAAAATTCAATAAGATCAAGAGTGATTTCACACCATGGCACAGAAATGATTTGCAAAGACACCCACGAAATAAGTCAAGAATATTTTATAAAGTTTCACTCACAGGAAAAACATTTTGCGGGTGGCCTGCAGATTTACCGAACCGTCAATCATCCGAAGCAGAGTCTAACCATCTTCCGTAATGAAGTGTTGCTTCCCATGCGAATTTGTGGCAAAAAAAATGGTTGAGTGAATAACTTTGCGAATGTTAATCTGGATAACCTTCGATTCTATTTTGAAGATTCTGGCAACCTTGGGGTCTTTCTACATCCCACTGATCGTGATGATGGTGGTTTACTCTCGGATATTCAAAGCGGCCAAACGCATCACCAACGAAGAAAAGCGATCGCAAATTTACATGAAGGACCGGAAATCCTTGGCGGACTCGTCCGCTCACCCGCTCCATCATCAGCATCAGCAGCAACTCATCACACCGGCAAGGAACGGCTCTGTGAGACGCGCCTCGCTCTGTGTCGTTCATTCGGACTCCGAGGAAGAATCCCGGCGTTGTTCCGACAGCAGCGGGAAATTGTTCGGCGTCGGAACGAAGACCTTCATGCCTGTCTTGCATTCTGGCGGATCTGCTGGTGAGCTCTTCACAGACTTGAAAAGGATTCAAAGGATCTTATGCATAATTGAAAGGATTCAAAGGATTTATTGATTGTGATATCTCACCTTATTTAGTCAAGTACCATTATGTATTCCTGTGGAATACACACATCTTAATTTTTGTGGAAAATCTTTTAAGGTATAGTTGTTCCACGCAAAGGAGTATATACATCAATACCTATTGTTGTCCTGCATGTTCAAATGTACGCAAATTATCTTAATTAAATATCTCACAACCAGAAAATCCCATGGGGTTTTCCAGTTGCGCAATGTCTACTGAATTGTTTATGTTCTCTCCCCATTTTGTACACAGTTGTATTCTTTTGTTTGTGGCATTTGCATTGATCTCTCTTTTCAAGTGTGAATTTGTCAATTTGCAACATATATCTTATTCTCTTTTCCTTTTGGGATAACTATTAAGTTATCCCCTGCCGTGTTCCCCGGCACATTGTGCATTTCAATTATTTATCTTGTAATAGCTTACGAGAAACACCCGAAATGAGGTGTTTACACCTCGTTAAACACAAGTTCAGAACGTACATGTTCGATTCGATCACTTAACCAACGTACAGCTATTCCACAGGAGTATACACCACCAAGAGTATGTATTTCTGATTTATTCACGGTGTTTTTTTTATTTATATCCTTCGTGCTTAAAAAGGGGCCACGAACAAAGTGAAGCTGTTTCTGAGTTCCGAGCGGAAGGCCTCGGCGACACTGGGCATCATCATGAGCGCCTTCGTCATCTGCTGGCTTCCGTTTTTCGTGCTGGCCGTCGTGCGTCCGTTCGCACCGGAAGACGCCATTCCACACGCACTCACCAGCTTCTTCCTCTGGCTGGGCTATGCCAACTCCTTCCTCAACCCGGTCATCTATGCCACGCTCAACAAGGACTTCCGGACTCCGTTCCGGGAGATCCTTTGTTTCCGCTGTCGCTCTCTGCAGGTTCGTGTCCGCTGTCTCTATATACCACGTGTAACCCGCGCGATTTCCTCCAACGCAACATCAGCACAAGAAAAAGAACCGTACTGCACAGTATTTTTCTTTTGTTGTTGCTTTCAAATGACTCATTATTGACTTGTGTTATTTGAGATGCGGAATAATGATTCATCCATAGCACGCACTATACTGAGCTAGGTGACATTAAAAAAATATATTTTCGCATCCATGCTCTGAATGGCGGCTGGGATTGTTGTCAAACGAAAGTCAGTTAAAATGTATTTCAATTTATCGTACATTCAAGTCTCAGATAATGTATCTATATCCATATTGAGCTTTTCAAAATAGAGTACATTATAAACTTGTTGAAATGCATCATTTCGGACCTTGAAAAGAAAAAAATGTTGCTATGCAGTACAATATTGAACCTCAATGAGTCAAACGACTCAAACCTCTTTAAGTGGAATACCTCTCTAAGTTGAAATTTTTTGAGTCCCCATCTGGAATCCCTTAGAAATCATTTACAGTATTAACATATTCTATATATGTCAAAGGCTTTTCCTCTTGAACCTCTGTAACTCATTTGAATTTTCCGCGGCATTTTGGTCATTATTTTCTTGACAGAGGAAAGATAAAATCAATGGAAAAGTAACAATGTGTTTTGAAAGAAATTGAAAGACTATAATTGGCATATGAACCCTTGCATCCAAGTTCAGCATCTTTTCAAGTCATTTAAGATGAAATTTAAGGCACAGAATATCACAATTTAATATTTCCTGCAGTTCTTCTATGTTTCCAAAAATAAAAAATGCTTGTTTCTCCTACTCAAAACCTCCCTAAGTCAAATTTGTTTGCTGCGGTCCCTTGAAATTTGACTTCAACAGGCTTGAATGTTAACAAAAATCTGTTGAGACAAACAGGCAAGATCCATTGTAATGAGATTCCATGCTGTATGTATGCATACATAACTTTTTCTTGGGTGCATCCAACTGTTTTTGGGTACATGTATTTTGTTTGAAAAGGCTCTTTCATAATGACGTTGCATTTTAAATTTTGGAGAATTTGTCATTCAAAATAAGTAAATTGTCATCTTTGTTTTCGAAGGTTCCGTTTTCCTAGATTCCGATTCCCTTCAGATTGATTATTTTCCCATCCATGCCAAAATGAAAGCGCATCAGGATCACGTCACTCATGAATGTCCTGGTTTCGTCCGCGAACATGCCTTTCGATTTCATTGCTTTCATACATGATTTTTCATCCATCTTTTAAAATTCAGTACATGTATACATAGTATATATGAATATACTCATTTTAGGTAATGATGCGGGAGGAATTCTACCATTCCCAGTACGGCGAACCAGCGCCGGAAGTGACGCGTCGGACCCTGAACCCCGCGGCGACCCCAGGTACTCTGGTACAGGAAACCGCGAGGCTAACTCATCACCAGTCTCCACATGAAACTGTCCTGTGATCTCCGGCATTGACATCAGCATTATTATCATCATCAGCATCATCATCATCATCAGCACACTCAACACTAAAAAGATAAAATGAACCCTGGAACCCGGATTTCGACACGTGCCCCCAATATCCGGAGTTCTCCCTCGAGGCCAGCAGTGAAGAAAATTGCATTTGCTGGAAAGCATCCGGAAAGTTCGAGACATTATCTTAATTGTCTATACAATGCGCGTGGAAGCTTTCTATAAATTTTCATTTTGTAATTGAGCCAAATAATGAGCTTTTCAGGACATTTAAATTATCTCGCGTTAGGAATTATACGAACATTTCCATAATAAATGTCTGTAAATTGAGAAACGGATCTAAAGTGATGAAGAGATCGATCATCCTCTCATTATTCCTCATTTGCTTCGGAGGAGCAAATAGGAGTGGGACTGATCATCAGTAAAGTGCATGATCAAATGCCTTTATTGCTAAATAATTTAACGCATATAAATAGAACTGCAGTTTGCAGTAGAGAATTTCACGTAATCCCTTTCAAAATTTTCCTGCGGTGCGCATAGAATTCTGCTGATGCCTTGGTTACTCTTTCGCCAAATATTCCATCAGGCCCAACCGAAGCAGGTGCCGAAATGCGTTTTAAAGTTCGGAAATTCAATTTAAGTCCCCGCGCCTCCGAAAGTTGCGAGTTTTGCTCAGGTCCTGTTATCTTTTGTGATGGTACCTGAGGAAAAATGGAAACACAAAAAAAATAAGGCGTGGAAATCGATTTACGAAAACATCTCTATTATGAAACTCATTTTTCTTGTGTTTTTCGAACTACACACAGGATCATCGCGACTGAGGGATAAAATAAGAATTTATATGGCTAAAAATGCGTTTAGGAATATTTCGTTTCGCGTAAAGTTGATGGTCCTTCCCTGGATGGTTTGAACTGGATTATATAGAATTCTGATTCAATATTTCTTTTCGTTCTGAATACTCAAAAAGTTTGTGTCAAAAATTGCGAATTGTCTTTGGCTTTTATCGAGGCTAGGAATTAAAATGTCAGATTTAAACGAGGCAAATCAGCCGATGGATTGAAAGGTACATAAATTATGAAAATTCTAAACTTTATTCAAGTTAATTTTCTGGTACAGGATCCCATCGAATCGTCAGATAATTGTTTCATAAACACAATGTTTCCCCTGAGCTTTGGTCATGCAATCGGAAGAATTCAGTGTAAATACCAGTCGCATTTGGCTGTATACGAAATGCATCATCCTGATATTCATAATGAATGAAGGGAAGACCTTTTCGAAACTTGCAATTCGAGGTTTTTTTTTTCCTATCAGAACCAGTGACATTATGTTGAGCATTTTTGTGATGAAGAGTGATGGTAATTTGTTTTCCTTTTTATCAGCGACGACTACTGCGATGAATCGCAGGGGAAAAAAAAACTTGGCAATCATAGTGTTTATTGTGGATGCATATACCATATGTTTGCTGCTACAATATGTTTATCTTTTGGTTCCGTTTTTTGCAAGAGCCTTGCTTTTCTGTTATTCGTAAAAACGTTTGACAAAGTGACTGCTGCTGATTCATTTCTGGTTTTATATCCTGTGAAACTCGTTCTCTGTGCGTGTCTTGCATCCTTTTGTACTTCGGTTTCTTGTTTTCTTGGAGATTTGTGGCGAAAACCAAAGGTATTACCTGCTGTTGAAAGAAAGAACTTGTTATGCTGCGAAATGTGTCATTTTCTTCAGACGTGGTATTTTTTGTATTTTATCTATGTATTGTATTTATATTCGGGATGCAGAAATCTTCTCTTTTCTCACTGTTTATTGATTTGCGAAGGGAATCTTTTGAAATTGTTCCGAACTTGTTCGTCAGTCAATAATATCTTTTTTCAGAATTCGTTCATCGGCATCAATTTCATGAATATACGTGGAGTAAATTTATAAATTCACTAAACTGTGCTGTTTAGTTGGATGCTTCATATAACTGGATTGAAGAAAACCTTTTCTCCGAATTGCAGGCTTTGAGAATTCCACAAGGACCCCAACCCAAACTTCCAAATTACTCCAATTACGTCATGGTGTCTTTGATACACCAGACCATTATCTTTGATGTCCACTTGGGACAGTCTTGAGGAGGAGAGGATTTTATACCTACCGCATCTTAGTAATTTACTCATATATTCAGCGACTTGAATGATCACGTTAGGTTATTCTGAAGCCTCAGGAAATGCATTTCTAGAACTAAATCTGGCTCTTAAGAGAGCAGTATTTGCAGAAGTCAGATTTCTAGTTGAATTTTCCCGCCTTTGTGGCTTTCATTGCAGAAGCGCAAGAAATTGTCGTATTATTCCTCCCCCTTATATTGAGCCAAGGTAATTAATGAGAGATCATTAGCAGATGCTGTTCGGATTGGCTGAAAGCAGAATCTGCGAGAGACACTTCTGACTAGAACAGATACGAAATTTAATAGCATATCTTGAAGAAATAGAGAAATATTTTTTAAATGTATATTAACCAAATGAACTTTCACATTTCCAGGAAACGTTCCCTCTCTCTCTTTTATATTGTTTTGTATTGGTTCAAATATGAAATAAATGTGAAGAAAAATCATCGATGAATATCGACATAACCGCGGATAATCACAAAGTTGGAAATCGAAAATTACATCCCTCAGAATTTGTTTGTGGCTTTTATCTCATGAGTTGTCGAAAAATAAGTATTCATTGCTGCTGGGGGTTTGCAGCATTTTATTGAAGCCCTCCATTTTCAAAGCAGTTTTTGCTCGTCATTTGAAGCAAATTACCTGGGAGTCTTCCGAATATTCATTTAAAATGAAGTATAAGCATGCTTGATTTATGTTTTTCGCAAATAATAAACCACGCGTCGAATATAAACTGTGAATTTCCTCCAGAGTTCACAAGTTTTTTGGACGATGGAGCCGTTTTGCTTTCAGAATTACTGTATATTTCTATGAGCTTCAGTTTTCTTCCCATGAAAGTCATAAGGAAAGCTAAAAACATCTAAAATTTAATAATTGATGTAAACCTGGTATAAGAGTATTCTTTATAAGAGGGTTCTAACAAAAGTTTGCGGAATGAAAATGAAAATGGCGTCTAATCGAGCTGAAAAAAAAAATCTTTAGGGCAAACATATTCTTTGGCAAAAAAAATCAGCCCTGTTTGAAATTTTTTTTTTGTTTTGCAAAATTCACCCTGGCAGAGTTTTGCTATATCCACTCAACAGATCAGGTGCCCTTCCTGCAGTATTTTTTTTTAGCCCAGCTTTCACCTCAGAATTCTTGAAATCAATGTGGCAGTAATTCCAAGGGTTGCCTCCAGGTCTTCCAAGGCAATTCTGCCATTTTCATTGACAACCGCCTTCACAGCCAAATGGCAGCTCATTAACAGCCACCTTCACAGCCACAGAAGGCTCATTAACCCTTGGATGGAGGCAGCCTCCTTTCCATCCCAGGGCTAAGTCAGACTTCTTCCTGATGGGTGTGCATTATATTTTTGCACAAGGTTATGCAACCCCTGCCAGGTGGGGGAGGGCAAAGTCGGATTTTTTCCAGGGATAATGAAATGCTGGGAAAGTCCTGAGTTGGACTTTTTCTGTATTGACCTCCAGCCTGGGCTCCTGGCTTTTAAGCTTAAATTTAATCTTTGAATGGGGAAACAACACAAGGCCAGGGAAAAAAAGGGAGCCTTGAAGCTTTCATTTTTTTCATTTTCAGGTGAAATTTTTCTGTGGAAAATTTAAAAAATGCCAGGATTTTTCCTGACTTTGCCTTGCACACACTGTTGGGTTTTTATTTTAATTTCACTCTGGAGTGCCACAAAAATCTGCAAAAAAAGTCTGACTTAGCCGCAGAAGGGTTAACAGCCGCCTTCACAGCTGCCATTTGGCTGCAAAGGCGGCTGTTGATGAGCCACCATTCGGCTGTGAAGGTGGTTGTCAATGAAAATGACGGAATTGCCATGGAAGAGGAAGACCTGGAGGCAATCCTTGGAATTACTCCGGCTGTTGATGAGCCGGCATTTGGCTGTGAGGGCGGCTGTCAATGAAAACGGCAGAATTGCCAATTGATTTCAAGAATTCTGAGGGGAAAGCTGGGCTAAAAAAAATGGACAAAGGGCACCTCATCTGTTGAGTAGATAGCAAAACTCTGCCAGGGTGAATTTTGCAAAACATTAAAAAAAGTTTTCAAACAGGGCTGATTTTTTTTTTTGTGCTGAAGGATATGTTTGCCCTAAAGAATGATTTTTTTCAGCTCGATTAGACGCCATTTTCATTTTCATTTGTGGAACTTTTGTTAGAACCCTTGTACGTGTTGAAAACCGAATTTTGCTTTTTTGATCATTTCAAACAACGGAAAAATTGCGTGTAAAATTGTTTTCACGAAAAAATATGCATCATTGAGCGATAAGTACAAAGAATCAATTGATGCAACAAATCAAATCATGGAAAAGTCCTAAGCCGCAGGCGAATTCGGCATTCTGTCTGATCCTCGTTGCTTTCCAGATGCCTGACTTTCTGAGAAGTTTATCTTCCAAGTCTTCCTTCAACAAAGGCCCCATTTCTTCTCTGCTGTGCTCATCGCCTGGAAAGTTCTTTTTTTTAATGAAAAGAAGTCAGAATCTGAGAGGAAACTTTCGATACATTTGGGATGCCCCCTTGGTCACTCTGATTCGGTCACTGATCACCTATTGTTCACATAAAGAATCATTCTATACACACACACATGGATCATTGAATTAGCTGAAGTCAGAGGAGAATACGACCAACACGAAAAAAAAACAAGAGGAAATAAAGTTGCTGCACTCATAATCTTATTGTCATGAGCGCGTATTTCCTGATACTAAAATGTATTCCCTTAAAAGTTGGACATCTGTAACTCAAAATTAGAGGGACCACAAAATTAAATGTATGGAGTTCCAGAGTGACAAATAGTATCTTTCTTGGAAAGCTGAGCAAAATATTTTAGGAAACTCAAAAGATACATTGGTGAAAATGCTGTGTGAAGAAATACCGTATTTACTCAAGTACCATGTGCACCTTTTTTCTCAAATTTCAGAAGAAAAAAGGGGTGCACATCATAAGCAGGTACAAATTTTTCAAGAAGTCTTAAGAAGTTATGTGTGCATTATACTTATACTTATACTGGAGAAATTTTGAACAAATGTAACAAGAAAACATTTTGTACTGAAAAAGTTGAAAATTGATCTGATTTTTGTTCAATGCATGTCTAAAGTCAAATTTTTTGAATTTATTTTCAAAAATTTGTGGTTTTAGATTCACGAAAAATTGGGGTGCGCGTCTTACTCAGGTATAAGATTTTATCCAAATTTCCAACTTAAAGACCCCTGTGCATGCCTTACTCAAGGGTGCATGGTACTTGAGTAAATACAGTAATATAGGATCCTGAACTTCAGAGCAAGGGTTTGTTATACATGCCCAATTATTCACTCACTAGCTTCATGATCAGGGAAATTATCAAAGCACAATTTGTATACATCTTGCATTCCCTTGATCTATACTTTGCTATACTGTATAGCCTCAAGCCCCAAAATGCCCCAGGACATTCCATATGGTTTGAGGAAGAGTCTTTGAGTCGACAAAAATGTGGATCAAAGTTACCCAAACCTTTTTCAGCTGTCAAACCCACACAAATCTTCCTTAATCCATTTTTGACAGCAACCACAGCAATTTTTTTTCACCTTAGCCTCAGCATTAGGCTATATTCAGCATTCCTTACAACGCTCAAGAACCACCTAAAAATTTCTAAGGAGCTGATTGAAAAAATCTAGCCTTTTCCCGTTTTTACTTTATGCAAATTGAAAGAAGTGTGAACGAATTCCTCCGACTGCGCAAGAAAATGGAAATTGTAGCATCTTGAGATAAAAAGAGAAGATTCACTGGAACAACTCCTGATGATAGACTTACTGTGAAATTTGATTTTTTTCGTGCACACCGGCAAAACATGATGTCTTTGGACCAGCAACACCACACACATATCATGATTAGAATCGTCAACCTTTTCTTGGAAATCAGCTCAATCCAACGACAGCAAAATATATAAAGAAATGCGCAGAATTTAGTTTTTTTTCTTTCGTCTCATTTCCAAGATTGGTTTTGCTTTGTTTTTGTCCTATACTCCTTCAGTTCACAAAAGGTAAGACTATTCGGATATGCGTTTCCGGTCAGGCGGAAAACTTCCGTTGATTTCGGATCTGATGCAACTACGTGTGTCTCCTTATACAACTCTTGCAGGATGATTGAATTTCCTCCGATGCTTGGCATTCCGAGCAACGAACAAGGGGAAAGTATTCCTCTGTTAGATACTTTTTTTTTGTGCCTTCCTCCCCCACGAATGTTGCTTCTGTTTCCGAAACTTGTCTTGAACGGATGGTGCCGTCAGAGGAATATTTCGGAGGGTTTCGAAATTGCTACCTATAACAAGAGTCGATTTTGTTTTTGTTCCGTTTTTCTCTCTGTACACTCTCTTCCTGCTGCTGGTGCAATCGATTTGGGAATTTATTTTCCGAAACGATAGCACACCTATATGAAATGAAATGCAAAAATAGAATACCGTAATCCGAGTATATAACGTTTCGATTGATTTTGTTGCACAAGTCTTTTCATTCATATAAATTGGAGCATTCTTGTTTGCTGGGCAAGTTATTCTAATATGAACTCTCGGAATTCTGTTGAAAGAAAGCTTCCTGATGATCGCGAAATCTGATGCGATTATAATTCATAATTGAGAATTGGGGGGGGGGGGACGATTGTTCGCTGAAGTGGAAATGAACAGATGAGAACTTATTTGATTGGGAAATGCATGGATTAATAAGGAATTTCTTGAGAAAAACAATTGTTCATTGAAGCAGAAATTCAACGAGAAAGATTGAATTTGGTTGAGAGATGAATCGTTGGATTAGAAAAAGACAAACAGCACAGGAGAAGAAGATTCGCGTGGATTTTGAGATTATTTTCGCGAGCCATGCCAAATTAAGTTGGAAATAAATTCGAATACGGACTCAATAATGCCCGATAATTGAGTCTTTTAATTATCTGGTACCGGGCTGAAAACCTTTTGCTTTAAATTTCGATCACTAATTGTTGGGCACTGTGCATTTTTTTCGAAATAAATTACTAAATCAAAGAAGTCATGGATTTGTACGCACTTGTATGTGTTTTATCTCTTTAGTTCTGATTATTTTTTTTAAGGATTATATGTGTGTTGGGGGGATATTTTGAACCTATTGGACGCTGTCAATCAGCAAATGAAGCATATTTTTTTTAATAATCCAAATGCCTGATAAAGACGACAGCAAAAAAAAAAACTGTTTCTCAAAGAGAAGCTGGTGCAGGTTATTGAAGAAAAAATTGACAACAAATTCAGTTCAGCGCTTGAGACGGTTCAATGATATAGAAAAGAAAGGAAGAAAAAAGCGGAAGCTGATTGCAGCTTGCTTCCGGCTGTTCTTTTTTTTTTTTTTTTGGAAGGGGTTCATCAACTTGTTGGGTCACTGCTCCGTGTGGTTTCGGGGACAATCTTTTTTCTGCAGCTGGCTCTCTGGGATGTTTTTCTTTCGTCTTCCGGTTTCCCTCTGGGGGATATATGTTGGCCAGAATAAGAGAGAGTTGGGGGACTGAATGCCAACAATGCGCCATCATCGTAATCCGTCGCTGCAAAGCGCTCATCGTGATGGATGTGCGTCAGGCTGCGGGAACCGCAATTTCTAACCTGCTCATCCTACCCTGTGTGTTGGGTTGGAGAGAAGCTGGGGAATTCGTTGCCAGTGTAATTCGTGCCTTGGACTTCATTTGGGCTCAACGATTTCAAACGATGAGAGTTTCATTATCTGTTGATTGTACGGGAATTTCAATTTTCAGCAGCTTTTCTTCGTGCAAAAATCTTTTTTCTTGGTCTTCCTACTTGGAAACTGTCCGACGATGTGCTACAGCAGTTGATGGACTCAATAAAAGTCAATAGCGCGTCTGTCATGGAGAAGGTTTATTAATCAAGTAATTTAAACCAACATATTATGACTACATTTTTTCAGTGCCACAAAAAAACACCTTTCCACGGCAACGTCAATAAGATAATCCAGTCGAACATACTAATGAATCATCCTCACGCATTCGTCAGTAACCTATTAAATAATTTTATACCAGTGAAAAAATGCATTTAAGTGGCAGTAAAAACGTACAGGAAGGATGAAAACTGTAATGGCAAAACCCTCACTCTTATATTTCACAGCTGAAAATTTTAAAATGTAAGTCCCAAAATCATCAAAACTATCAAAATAATCGAACACCTGCATTTCCTACTACAGCAGTAGAGATATCCTCTTTTTCTCCTTTTTGAAAATAACTTTTTTGCAAGAAAAACCTCGCCCAAGGACGTATTTTTTTCAAACATCTAGTCATGGGATTAACATGGCGAAAAAGCTATTTTCTGATCATTTATATCGCCGAACTTATTAGATTTTCAAGCTTATTGAGTCACACATGAGAGATGAGTATCAGTTGTAGTTTTGTTGACCTTCGGTCGAGCCAAAATGTGTTTTCATGCACAAGAAAAAAAAAGAATCTAGCCCCTTCTGCGCAATAAAAAAATAAACTTCCACGAAACAAGGAAGAAAGTTACTGTATATGTTCCAAAGAAGAACGATCATCACTTGACAAGGTGAAGCAGAAATCATAATATCCAAAGCGAGCTCAGCACGGAGGCACTGGATACAATTTTCTGCAACTGCCAAAAACCACCACACACGTGGCATACGTCAAATCGGGAATATAAAAAAATAATTTAGGGCTGTGTTTATCAAAATATGTAGACTGTGTTAGTCGAAAATAAACGTCTATAACACTGGAGGGTTCCAACAGTGACATGCTTCACCGCCAAAACACGTTTGCTTGCCCAGTTCGCAGCACTGAAGCAAGCAGGGGAACAGTGCAGGAGATCAGGTTCCAGGGCAAACAATGTTCACTCACATAATGCAGCGAACACCAGCAGCAGGGCTGTAAATAATAAATTTCCACATTTACGCCAGCAGAG